ATTATAATAAACTTTTGTACTTCTTGATCGCAATAATTTATTAAATAAAAATAAATAAGATACAAGGAAATTCATTATGCACAAAGATAAAACAAATCCAATTGCTCTTTTCGTTACGACTAGATTTAAAATAATAAATTGCTTACTGTTTATTTGTAATATAAAAATATTTATTTAAAGTGTTAAAACAATTTGTTCAGCATTTTTTAAAAAATTGTGTATTATTGTACAACATTTTCGTGTAATATGTAACAGGCAGATGCATATTGACTGTCAACTGCATACAATTAGACTAATTTCAGTCTTTTTTATTACATTTTAATCATTCTGGAACACACAATCTTCTTAAAAATTACCAAACGCACATTTAATAAAAATATCTATGTATATGTCTTTTATACTAAACAAATTAAAAACTTTTAACTACATAATGGATGAGACTGTTGTAACAGTTTTTTTTTATACATTTACTTACATACATAATATACAACTATTACAGAGTTTTTCGAATACCTTAATAGTTGAAAAAATACACATCTTCTTTTTTACGGAAATTGTGAATTATTTCAACAACAGATAGCAATAAATAAACGAATAAACAAAAACTTTTATCGGCCACTGATTAGCATTGACTAATAAATTATTTATTACTATTAATAGACTATCTAGTCAGTTCTCAATTCATATTTAGCATCTTTTGCGTAAATTCGATTTTTTTAATAAGTAATAGGTACGTAAATATATTTTACATTGCTCTTATCATTTTTCACAAAAAGGAATACATTATTTTATTTCAAAAATTGTAATAATTGTTTTCATTTGTAATAATTTAATTTTATTGATACGATTGCTGTCTAAACATAGACGAGATTTCTTCCATCGTTTTATTCTTTGTTTCGGGGACCTTTTTATAAATAAATACACATGAGAGTACCAAAATTACCGAAAATATTATAAATACGTATGAACCTAGGGCTTTCTGCAACAAAAAAAAAAAAAATAACCAGATATATACATAATACATTTTTCTTTTTAAATTTCTAAATATCGGACGACACGTATTATTACGCTTTACCTGAATAGGAAGGAATCCAATTCCAACTAAAAAGTTTGCTGCCCAATTGGTAGCAACTGCTAAAGAAGTGGCCGTAGGTCTCGCAGATTGATTAAATAATTCAGAAACCAAAAACCAAGGTATAGAACCTGGACCAATTGCGAACATAATAACGAAAAGAAGAACCAAAATGATACAAATGTAACTGGCTGCCACGCTGCTTTTCTGAAAATTTAAAATTTCAGTTTTAAATAACAGGCGGGATAAAAATAAAACAAAAATATGTATTGGTTTGTAAGAGAGGTGAAACTATGATTATAGATAACGTTGAGTTGTGGTAGTATGTCGCCATCTTCTGACATTTGCTGCTAAATGAAGTATTTCAACTGTTAGGCAAGGGTCTTGCTAAGGTTTCTACTTGTTCGACTAAATCGATGACACTGATGAGATCAAATAAAATCTTCTAGCATGAACCTTGTCCTAGTCAAAGGTGCTTGAGATGTGGTATTATAGGCGGATGATAGAAATACCATGGTTTCAAAAAATTAGAAATGAGGAGTTTTTAGATAGAGCAAAAGAACAGAGGGCGCTATAGAAGTCAATAAGGAAAAGGAGATGGATGGAATGGTAGGACGCCCACTGAGATATAAAGGACGACCAGTACGAGACATATTAGAAGCAGAAACAGGAGTAAAGATTGGATATTACAAATAGAGGTTTAGTTTAGGAAAATGTTCAGATTAACGCATTGATGTGTATTGTGGTGCATCCAACTAATTTTCAATACTCAATGCTTACTGAAAAGATCATTGCTATCGTCAATAAAAAGGACACTACTGCCATTCCGCCAAAACCGATAAGAAGCAACGTTTTACGACCAGATCGTTCCACCAAAACCAAAGAAACCACGGTCATCAAAACGTTAATGAAGCCCATTCCCATCGTGGCATAGGTTGCGTTTTCATCGGACAATCCAGTCATTTTGAAAATTTCGGTTGAATAAAACATCACCTTAAAATAAATGCGTGCGATTTAGATTTTTAAAAAAGATATATTAATTTTCAAACAACTTACTGCATTTATACCGCTCAACTGTTGCGCTACCATTATTGTCAAAGAAATAATCAAGGGAATTCTGAGGGCGTTGTTCGAAATAAGTTCTCTGACGCTCGCCTTCGGGATTAATTTCATCGCTTCGAATTCTGATCTCATTTCGTCCATTTCTTCGTGCACTGAAGCGCTACCCCTCAACCACGTTAACGCCCTTTGCGCTTCAAGTTCCTTACCTTTTGTTACAAGTAGGAATTTTGGCGATTCGGGACAGAAAGGAAGAGTTGCTAACTAAAACGAAAATAAAACAAATAAAGTCACATATTGTAAAATGCAAGAAAATATGTTCATATCTTCGTCGGTCGTTCCCTCAAGTCGCTAAATACTGAAAAAGACACATGAGAAAACAACTTTCTAATAATTTATTACTATTTTTGTTCGCCATAAAAAAATTACTTTACTTTGCAGTGGGGGGGGTTTGAGAAAACTGATAAAATATAAATTGGGTCTATTAGCAAGTTAGATCATTAACTAGAGGAGTTTGTTATCAAGTAATCAGATTTTTATATGATAGAAAAGTTTGCTTGATTTTGGCATTTTGATAATACATAATACACAATTTTGTTTAGTTTAATAAACTGATTGCCTATTTCAACAAACTTTTGATTGTGCCTAACGATCGGTCTAAAGTCGAAAATACAACAGCAAATGTTGACAATTTTATACAAATAAAAGATTAATTTCGGTTCAGTTGGTCTTTCTTATAAATTCATAAGTGTATAACGCAACAAATACGTTCGTGTACTACAAATTTATATGGAAATTTACCTGAAAAATGGCCGGAATTACAGTGAAGGCTAGAAGTAAATGCCAAGTTGTTTCGGAACCTAAAGCAGACCTTAATCCTAATGCCTGCGCTAGCAGGATCGATATTGTAATGATTAACTGATAAACAGTCCCCACGGCTCCTCTTAAGTTCATAGGTGAAATTTCATTTAAATACATAGGAACTAAACCGGCATTTAGTCCCGAACTTATGCCAATCAAAAAACGGCCTAGAATTATCATTTCGTACGATCCGGCCGACTTAGACGATCCTTCGAGAGCGGCTGCGGTAACAACGAGTATGTTATTTAACAACAGTCCACCTTTTCTTCCAAATCTGTCTGCTACCATCCCTAAAAAGAAGTTTTAAATGTGTGATATAATTTTAAATAAAAATTTGAATAGATGAAACTATTAACTCCAATGCAATAACAAATAAAAACAAATTTTCCTGTTATTTAAATTAAAACGATCGAAAGGAATTATGCTTAAATTGATGATTTTCTTTACCAGTAATAGCGCCACCGATCATGCCTCCGACACAAAAAATCGATACCGCTATCGACCATATTATCGTTATTAAAGATTCTGGTGGAATTTCTGCCGTTCGATGATAAATAGTTTGTTTAATCCACTCTTCGATCACCTACAAAAAATATAGGCATATACTATTTGTACCTGACAAAAATTTGTAAATTGAACATTACTTTTTGAGGATTGTTTAGCACTCCTGTGTTATATCCATGTTGAAAGGATGATCCAAAGGCGGCGGCTGCTATTGCAAATCCCAGATGTTTAGTGTAGCCCTGAAATAAAACAATAATTGTTTACATAAACTTTTATGATCACAGTAAAAACTAATTGACAAGATCAAAAATATACACAAATTTTGCCTTTACGTAAAAATAATTAGTTTGGTTTGTCTTCAAGTTGTCAATAATTTTCTCATTTCTTATCCCTTTAATTTCAATTTTAAAAACTATGTTTATTTTTTAACAAATTCCCATTGCAAAGCAGTACAAAAACATGAAATTTACATAATTCCGAGGTTGTACAGGTCAAACAGTACACGTTACAGTAAAGCATTTATGGTCACTTTTCAAGAGCAACGATTTGTCCGTGGGGTGAGCTTTCACGTATTGTGATGGCATGCAATGTACCAGAGTGATAATTCGTTTTTTATAAAGTCGCTAAATTAACAAACGTGTTATTTATAGGGAAATTTTGTAAAAATAAATACGCAGAAACTAGTTAAAATTTCAATTAAGGACTAAAAATTTGGCAGAATTTATTTTTTTTTTTGGATACGCAACGAAATAAACAAGAAAAAAATAAGTGCTAGTTTTAAATTGCCGTAGTATATTATAAAAGGTGAATTGAAATTATGTGATATGTAAAACGAAAGCTTTTTTTGAAAAAAATTAGATGTTTTTAAATTATTCACATGACCAAATTATGACATGTTGCATAATTCTAATTTTAAATGCTTTATCGCTACCGAAAATTAATAAAAAAAACTGATCAACGTACATTACCTGTACTTTATCTGACCCTACTTTATTAGATATTCAAATTTGAGTTTCAAGTTGGGGACAGATACTTTTAAAAACTTTTTCTTTTTTGTACATCCATAAACAAAATGTAATAGTAAGCAATTAAATTTGTTCAGAAACAATAAAAATAAAAACTTCGCGTTCATTATTTTTACTGTTTTTTTTTGCAAGTAATTTGAACTAAAACACGTGTTCAAGGCGACTGTAAAGAAAAACTTACTCTTTCAATATGACGAAAAGTAGTTTCCGAATATACTTCTTTACTATCTAAGCGAAAACCGTCTTCCTTATGATTACTCATCGTCATTGCAACTGTTAAAAGGAGTTCAAGTATCACCACCCGCACTCAAACAAAACAATCACAAACTAACGTGATAAAATTGGTGTAGGATGTGACGGATTTCGAAAAAGAAAATCGCTTTCGATCTGCTGTGAGTACGCTTCTGTCTGCAGCAGCTCTGTCTGTAGCTGTTGTACCTCTTGGGAAGGAAATGGCTTGGAAAAAGTAGATACTCACATACATACATACATAGACACCAACATATATGCATAAATATATACACAAATACATACATACATAGATACATAGACACACACACACACACATGCACACATGTATCTTCAGGCAAATAGCAGATGTGTGTTCATTTTTAACATGTTTACTTTCACGTTATCATCCTTTGCGTACCATGGACATAATACTTGATGAATGGTATAGAAACGAGTTTTTTAGAAGGTCATGGGTTAATTAAAAAAGCAAGTAGCCAATAATGGCAACACACAGACGTGCCCAATAAAACTAGTCGTAAAACTGTTACAGTAGACGAAAAATTCACAATTATTGTGCTGTATGTATAATTTTGTCGTTGTTACATCCATCGTTTTGATTTAATGACGTCCATGAAAATTACTGGTCCCATGATAACACTAAGCAAACATAAAACGCATCTGTTTTGCTATGTACCTAACATTAATTACGCAAATTTGAATACAGAAATTAGTATCGGTACCACCTACCTACCTACCTATCTACCTATAAATTTACTGGAATAGGCATTTTTTTATAATCATTTAGTTTTGTAGTAAATTAGGCTACAAAGGTACAAAAGATTAACGTTTTCGTTTATAATTTACGTTTTTTATAAAAACTAATCCCTACTATTAGCTAACAACAACAACAACAACAAAAAGCGATGCACCGTTATATAATTAATTCGAAAAATGTCTGCACGAAAGCTCATGCATGTTAGGAAGTCATTCGTTATCGACGTTTTTTTTTACCAATATTCTATTAACAGATTTAAGACGGCATTTAAATAATAAATGAAATCTACAAAGTAGCTGAGGAGAAATGACGAAAACACTTTTATGAATCGTAATTGGCTTAATAGTAGAAAATCGTTTTCATTTTCAAACCGATGCAAATTATACAGTTAAAATAAGGATCGAGAAGGTCATATCAAAAGGTATTAAAGTTTTAATTAAACACCTATTAATAATTTTTTGTTCAAAAAAATCGTTGCTGCGAGAAACGATTACAAAAGGAAAATATTTTTAAAACAGAAGGTCAAAGTCATGCATTTGCCTTAGCAGCTTTTTTTGCAGTTAAAAATGAAAATACATCAACATTTTGTTATCACTTTAAAGGGAATGTCATCATAGAATAACCAAAAATAGATTTATCTCTTTTTATTTCGAAAATGAGCAACTCNTATATATATGTATATGCTACAGTTTATATGCTTACTTGGTTAGTTTGTAAAGTAGCTGGATAGTGCTAACAGTCCTTTTGACATTGCAACAATTTGTATACTATCAAGCTACTTTAAAAACTAGCCAACACAGTTATTCAGTTACAGTAGGATACACTTCATTAGTGTTGTCCTTGTCATGTATTTTCTTCTCCTGCTGTAACATTATGATCTCAAGCATATCAGTCAAACCAGGCATTTAAACAGTTTGTATACTATCCAACTAGTATACAAACTAGCCAACATACTTGTTAAGTTACAGTAGGACACACTTCACAAAATGTTATCATTGCCATGTATTATTTTCTCCTGCTGTAACATTATAATTTCATGCATATGCATCAAACCATGCATTTGGACAGTTTCTATACTATCCAGCTATTTTACAAACTTGCTAACACAGTTATTAGGTTACAGCAGGACATGTTATAAGTGTTGTATTTGCCATCTATTTTATTCTCCTACTGTAACTTTATGATCCCCAAGCATATCAGTCGAATTAGACATTTGGTGAGTTTGTATACTATCTGACTAGTTTACAAACTAGCCAATTAAGCATATTAACACCAACATATATTATATAATAATATAATTATTGATCCCCTACAGTTCAGAGAGGAATAATATAATAGTGTCAGCTGCTGTTAATCATGTGGTCCAGCACACCCCAAACATTTACATACCTCCTGGTAGCTCTTCTCCTTAGCTCGCTTGCACTGCTATTTGTAACCCGATTTAATACATTATCAACAAAAATTCTTCTTGCATGTGCAGTAAGTTGCAAACCGACATTTTTTAAGGGAGAATTTCGGGAGAATGCATTAACTTTATCGGTTGCTACATGCACCCGTGACGCACCGGCTTTGGGTACTACATTAACTTTCTCAGTAATATTGATGGGGTGAATTTCTCTCTTGCAGATATGGCGCAGCAACATAAAACCATTGTTGATTATTCGAGATGTAAACAGGCGAACCGACATTCTACTCTTTAAATACTGCAACAACTAATTAACACTAACATAATCACCACCTCTACTATTAATACATATAACAATTATCGGGTATACTTATCACTTTTAGTTTTTCATAGCAGATTCTGCGTTCGTTATATCATATTATCGAATTACTTCAAGACAACGTAACACACTGCAAAATAGCAATGACTAATTTATTTGTTAGTGTTATATTTATTTGTTATTCATCGACCAAATTCTGTCTAACGTATCTGAAACATATAAAACGGAAACATCGATTACCGATTATTTTTTTTTATCTAAATTGCGACCTTCATTTCACTTAAATCATTTATCCAATTCCTATTAAGGGTACAAAAACAATATTTATTATTTTATTGTTAATATTCTTTATTATCATATTAGTTTGCTTGCACGGTGTTTGTTTTTGACCTACAGCGACGTCCTTTCTGGTAAATAAGTCAGATAGCAGAGAAATGGATAGGGCCATTTTTGTAATACAATAAAAGCTCATCATGGAAACGTATCGCATGGGCGAGGTAATCTTTCGAACTTTGTGTTGTCACTATAATAGTATAATGGCAATGGTTTCCTTAGGTAGATGAATTACGTTAAGTAAAGGTACAGTGCCGGACTAGAGGTGCGGGGAGATGGCGACAGGCAGGTCTTCCAAATTTTGAAGTCCTTTTTAATGAAATCCCAATTAAGGCCAAAGTTCATTATGTGCAAGAGGTTTTGTCAAACAATTTTTATTCAACGTGGAATGAATTTCACTTACAATATTTAACAATATTACTTTAATAAAAAACTTTTGAGCGCAGTAATAAATAATATAAATCAACAATAATTATGTGCAGATGTGTAACCCTATAGGAGTATAATTATTATGATGCGATGTTACAAAAAAGTTAATTTCAAGCATATAAAAGATACATTGATATTAACATTATAATTATTTAATTATTAATTAACACAACGGGGACGATAATAATAAAAAAGAAATCGAGTATGTTCATGCAATTAATTATTAAATTATTCGGAATCGGTATAAGTGGTTTTCATAACATATTTAACAGTAAAGGCGAATGCGGCGAAACCAATTAAAACAATTATGTTTGTAAGACACGCTTGAAAACTGCTAGGCTCTGTAGAATCCTGACGCTGATTTTGGCAATCGTTCGCCTTCTGATTCGTACTACGTTTAACTATTTCTGCCTGCAAAATAAAATAAAAAAAAACATTATCCAATATCAATATTGATGGGTAGATACTTCTCGAAAATCTTTTACCTGTATTTCGGTAACTATTTCGGGAAATAGCTCGCAAAACTGTTTATTTTTCAAATTAAATTCTAGCGACTGGTAAGCTAATTGACGTTTATCATAATCTGTTGTCTCAATACTGCCCAGTGTGGGTACTTTCTCAATCTGAAATTTAATATAATACCAGTTGATGTGGATGATTCAGAAAGTACTTGGTAAACATTGTTTAAATATCTACATAAGTACCTACAGCTAATAAAAAAAACTCTTTTTGCTCTTTAAATCTTTAAAAATTAAAAGTATTTACAATAATTAATAGGTACTCTGTTCAATACAATTAATTAATTTCATCTAAAAACAGACATATTTACAATTTATTGCAATAACAATATGGAAAATAAGTATGCAACTCAGCATAGTAATTAAACAGTAAAATAATAATAAACAGTGAAAGTTTCTTACCATGAAGCTAAGTAAACCAGTCAAAATTGTAGAAACACTCCATGCTGGGTTCCATGTATCCGGATGGAAATCTGATATACTTAAACAAAGTCTGGTGTTTGTTTTAAATCTACCACTGGGGGTGATCATGTAAATTGATGGAGGCTGGAAAGGAAACTCGCGGGGGAAAATTAATTTTCCATGATAGTAACCCCCCTCGTACGGTGTTTTTTCGGGGCCGCAAACAACATAATGCCTTACAAAAAAACAACCATTTTAAATCGGTAATATAAAATCGTAAAAAACTACTTAGTTAATGCATACGAAAGGCCTTTATCAGTACGAAAAATTATCTTATTTTGGAAATTAGCCTTACCACTCCAATATATTACTGGGGAGGGGTTCGGCGGTTACATAGGGAACAGGGTCCTTCTTGAGCCTTAAATAATCCTGCTTCAATCTGGCTGTTGCACTGTTATGTTTCCTGTTAGACATTGTAAAATTTGTACATTCACAAAACAGTAACAATTCTCTACCATCACATACTCAAACGAATTTGTTTATTATGTGTGTAAAAAACGTTTAATTTTAAGACGCCTCTTCAGATAAATAAATGCTGAAATATAACTATTAGAGTTTCAGTAGATAAACGTCAAATAAGAATATGACATCAATATGAGAAAAAAATAACGTTAACAAAACTAAAACTCATAGACTAATACTTAAACATTAAAAATGTAATATTACTACATTTTGTAATTGACTGTTATTTTACCAAAGCCTTTCAGTGCTACCACCATTAATTTTTAAACAAATAATTCTGCGAAATTTAACAACTGAAAACCTTTATTTATGCAAGAAACATTCAGAATAGATACAACCAATCAAATCAAATTAAAGTTTTTTCTAATAACTATTGTACCTTGTGACTCTTAGTTTCCATAAAACTTTGAAAATGCTTTTTTTATTATAATAAACTTTTGTACTTCTTGATCGCAATAATTTATTAAATAAAAATAAATAAGATACAAGGAAATTCATTATGCACAAAGATAAAACAAATCCAATTGCTCTTTTCGTTACGACTAGATTTAAAATAATAAATTGCTTACTGTTTATTTGTAATATAAAAATATTTATTTAAAGTGTTAAAACAATTTGTTCAGCATTTTTTAAAAAATTGTGTATTATTGTAC